CCTAGTAGTAAGGCCAGGAGCCCCTAGTAGCATCCTTGCTCCTAGTAGCATCCTTGCTCATTGCTCCTATTCTTTTTGGGAACCAATAATTTTTTTGGTGGTCGTCCATTTTTCACCTTCGGCCTTTCCGGCCCGGCAGACTCGCTTTGCTTTCTCGGCTTGGCGTGCTTGTCCCAAGGTGTGCATTGGAAGCGTACAACTCCTCTCAGCAACGCGACTGCGAGCTGCTACACAGTGAGCCAACCCAGTGCAAATCCAGCAGAGCAGTTGTTAAAGTAGCAAAGGCTTTGGCAAGCCTATAGATGCCACAGCAAGATCAAAGTCTTTGTTTGCAGCGCCTTTGTAATGTTTTTGTTGCTTTCAACTTTCAGCATCCTACTTAACCAGGGTATGCTTTGCTTGAAGATGCTTTCTTCTTGCCACTGAGCTAGCCCATGTTGTCTCTACTACTATACTACCAAGCTGCTAAGCTGTTACTAAGGCAACGCTCCGCTCCGCTTCCTGTTTTTGAGCAGCTTGTTAGCAACGTGCTCAGGATTCCGATCAGTGCCAAGCAACACGTACTTCATGTATTTGGTCAGCACGTACTTCCAGTAGACTTCACTTCAGGAAAATCGGTGGAATTCTACATTCAAGATACTTGGCATTTGATGCATTCCTCCCCAATCACAACAGGCGCTCACATGGTTTAGCTGCCTCTCGTTTGGTGCTGGCAAAGGACTCTACCAGGCCTTGGGCACTTGAAGTTGATGCGAGCAATTGGATAAACGATGTATTAAGGGTTTTGTAAAAAGAGCAGTTGAGTTCCAATGCAGACCCCAGGAATCAACATGCGGTCAATGACCCTTCCTCAGTCTTGACATGAGCCCAACACTTAACTATTGCGCTTTGGCAGGGGCTGGCGCCAGTGGAAAACCACCCGTTCTCGTGGGATGCTCAAATCGGGTTCGGCTGGGACATATTCAATTGGTTTGTATTCACAGCGCTTCGCGCTCGAAGCCGCCCACACGGATGTCTCGGTCTGTCAGTCTGTTTGTCTCGGTCGGGCAGGACACACGGACGAACACACCCACGATGTCAATAATGCAGTTTCCACCGGGCTGCATAGCTGGCATCCCGAATGTTTACCTCGGAAGCCACACGCACAATTACACACACGATATCATTTTAAATTAATCTTCAAAAAGCCACCAAAAACACATCCCAAGCTAAAGCTTATTAAGCGGACTGATCCAGCAGCTATTTTGTGGTGTAGTCGAGCCGACACAACGCCTCAGTGCCTTCCAAATGGGCGGATTTAAAACCAACCTGACGGAGATTAGATTGCTTGTTGCATCCTTGTCATCCTTGTCGTGTTGTTGAGGTCCGTTCCTGTGGTTGGGGAGGTCATTGCTACGCCTGAGGCACTGGCTCTGGTGAAAAATAAGAAGGGCTTATGTGTGAGCCTGTTGGCTTCAGGCCGGTAGGCACACTGCACCAGCGGGCTTCAGATGCGATCGTTGATTTAACGAAGAGTGATTGGCTTTTGACGCTCGCTTGGGCGTTTTTAGCCAGTGCTAGCTAGCCGCTTGGGGGAGCCAAAAGTGGAGACCTCCCAAAGTTCAGCCGTGCGGGTTCACGGTGCAACGGTGCCCTGACAGGTGGAGACGCCCAGTGGAGCGACAAATGGGTTGCTTGGGAGCAGACACCGGACATGCGGGAGGGACATCGAACAGCAACATGCTCCTGATGCCTCTAAGTCCAAATTGGACTGTTTCCAAGCAGTTCTGACAACTACTGCAGTCTGCAGCTCGCTGGAGAGGCTGAAATCACTCATGTTTCAAAGACCTTGAGAGTCCTTTCTTAACGTTTTTCCTCTCCCCCCGCAGCTTTGAGCTCTGGGTCCTGCGGTCCAGCTGCAGCCATGAAGCGCCAGCTCAGCACGGGTCTGAGGCCGAACGTGTCGCCGTTGGGTTGTTTCGGCCGGTTTTTCAAGATGGGTGTGGCGTGAAACTTCATGCCACTCATTCTCATTCCACAAGAAGATGTCACACATAGTCTGGTTTACTTGAATCGAACCCAGGCGTTGCCCTTATTTGTGACCTGCCTTGGGAGTTGCCAGGTGGCTCTTCCTGGCGTTCTTGGCGCAAAGATGGACGCAGTGGGCGTTTTTGGCACCAGGAGCGATGTGTTTGATCTTCGATCGAATCGATGGGTCTAAAGGAACGTTATGGTTTGTGGTCATTTACATGGATCTGGGCGGGCTTCCTGAAATCGTATGGTGCAGCTTTTCCCGGGCATGGCTCGGGAACGATGTTACATCCTGATTGACATTTTGTCACATGTGGTCCTGCGAGTGAGCGACACCGATGTGACCTGGTAGGCCAGTTCAGTGGGCGAAGAGCCCTGCAACTCGGCGGTCAGCTTGCGAAAGCTTTAAGTCCCCGTGCCCGAGCTGGCCCTTGTCATCTCTCCAAAAGCATGGTCTTTCTCTAAAAATGCCGGCGCCCTGCAAAAGCATATCATTATCACAAACAAACAAAAACAAACTCGCAGGTCTCACGTTTTGAGAGAGCCTCTTCAAATTTTCATCCTATTTCATTCCTTCTTTTGAGGAATGCTTTGAGAGAACCAGTCCTCTTGGTCTCTTGCGTTTCCTTTCGACCTCCGGTCGACCTCCGTCTTGGCTTCACGTGCGTCGTGCGTCGCGACGTTTTGGACGCAAGGCTCGGGAGCGTGGGAGCGAGTTGGTCTCTCGCCGCCTTGGAGGCCGAGCGTGGGAAAAGCCTGCCTGCTGTTGTTTGTTGGGGGTTGGAATCAGTTGGAAGGGAAAAGCTTGGTGCCACAGTACTCCAAGCTTTGAAGATGTTTTGAATGTTAGTTTTATAGATTATGATTATAGAGCTTCCACAGATGGGTTCATGGATTTGTGACATCCAGGTTGTGGAAGTTTCAGTAAAGGGTTGACTGCAAAGGACGGCCTCTAGCAGTGAAGCTCTTGATTAGGAACAAGAATTCCGACGTCAAAGGCATGCTTCTCATGAGCATGAAGGTGCTGGTATTCGTTTGGCAGGTCAAAGCATGTCATGCTCAAGAGGCTTTGACCTTCAGTATTTTGTCCTCCTCATCGCGAGGCGCACGCAGAGGAGGATGTAGAGCTAGAGTTGAAGGTACTGCGCACCGGCAAGACTCCGTACGCCAAGATGGACTACCAGGCCACTTCGGTCAAAAGTCAAAAGGCATGTGCAAAAGAGATCGTCCTGTGACGTTGTGGATGGCCACTGGCACAAATCTGAGGGTGATTCCTATCGACCCACGAGACGCTCCGCGCATCATCCGCGCACCACGAGGTGTTCCGGGAAGGCAAGTGCCAAGAAGCGCAGATCGGAGACCTGGTCAGGCAGCGTTTGGGGCGTAGGGAGGGTCAGTTCAATGAGAGAAGCAGTGCAGCACGGCTGTAACTCCTTAGACCACTTGCTAGCTGCTAGTCATCGGTTAGGTTCCTTCTTTTCTTTTCAGACAGAACCACTAGCTTCAGTTTTGCTCCCGCTGCAGGGTAAAGCACCGGGCGTGGTTTGATGACTTTGAGGAGGGCATGCCCTGGGAGCTGACCTTGGTCGGTAGACAGGCCTGCACATGTTCGTTCATTTTTCCGAGAGGTGTTGATGTGAATCGTGTGTGTATCTTGGCTATGAACGGGAAAAGACATGGATATTTTGGCATTTTCTGGGAAAGGAATGGGAAGACATACTTACCCCACTATAAGGGTGACATGTTGTTATTTGTTTTTTTCCATCTTCAAATAAGAATCTGAAAGCAGGGAGAGACATCAAAAGTGAATGTGAAGAAAACTGACACGTTGAGAGAGAGGGAGAGTGAGTGAGTGAGTGAGTGAGTGAGTGAGTGAGCGAGCGAGTGAGTGAGTGAGTGGCAGAATCTCTTCAGAATTATTATTACATAGAAGTGCTTGGAAATGGATGGTGGTTGATTCTTAGAGGTTTCATTGACCTCTAGCTGTGTCAGGAAGTGGGCCCTTACCAGCAACCCAAGAGGATAAAGGTCGGCAAGGCCTTGGACGTCGGACGGACGTGGCAAGTCGTGCCTTTTCCAAGTTCTTGGACCGAGGCTCTCCAGAGCACATGGGTTTGTCGTTTTGTGCTGGCTTTCTACAGCAAACGTTGATGGAATTTGAAGGCAAACTCTTTTTGGCCAGTATAGACCAGCTGTCAGCTGTGATATTTGACCAGATGACAAATCTCCCAGGCCCTTGCCAAGCTCACCTACAACAAAATCCAAGATTTCATAGGGACACATCGTTCCTTTCTTTGTGTGTCGGTTTCACATGGACAAACACCGGTCAGACTCCGCTGACGCCCTACGACCCCCCTGCGCTGACTGATGCGCTTGTGGGCATGCACCCGGGGGAGCTACGCCGAGTGGTGGTGCCACCAGAGTTGCTCGGTGAGTTGCGTGGGCGGGATGCGCTCGAGCCAGCTTTGGGAGTGAAAAAGTCCTTGTTGTGAAGACACAGCAGCTTCAGAAGATCGCAAGTGAACAAAAAGATTCGCTGGAGAAAACAGGTTGAACATTCCAACTGGGATATTGGATGACATTAGTCCAAACTTTTATCTTGTGATGCAGCCACTCGGGGAGGTTCTCACTTTGTGGATTGGAATTTACATCTACTGCTGCAAAGTAGCCCATCTTCCACCGGAATTTGCCTCTTCTGCCTCTTCGTCCATCCCAGATTCGGCTTCGGTTCAAAGGGCAGGACGCCGGCCGTGGAAGGGTGGTGGAGGGGGGAAGAGGCATGCGGACTGCAAGGTATATATAGTCTACCGGTTTTGCAGGTCTGCAGGTTCCATTCCTTGTTTTGCATGCCTTGAGGCCCACATATTTAGGTGGCCAAAGGACCAGATGTGAGATATGCAAGTCGAGGGAAAGAACTGTCGAGGCCATCAAGGTTCAAAGTTCACAGGGTTCTTCCATTGGCAGGGGCTCTGCCTCAATGCCCTCAGCAAGAAGCACTGAGACTGGCTCCTGCCTTTGCTGTGTGACATCACCACTCAAGCAATGTGCGAGTGACAGCGAACCCACAGGAGCATTGCCGGGCCTCAAGAGGATCAAGCAGCTTGGCGTAAGTGGCAGTCTTGTGCTGATCTGGATTGAAGCCGATCTGGTAGGGCCTTTGCGGGTGCGCCCTAAAAAATTAGGTCTATTTTTGGTGAACCTCTAGATGTTCTCCACGCTCAGAGAGCCCCCCATGTTGATCCTCAGAGAGCTCCATGACTCCATGGCCTTGAGGATATTCCTCCCAACGCCACGACGCTTGGACGGAGCGCAAGGAGTCTTGAGGCCTTTGAAAACACAGTGTGAAGATGGCAAGGAAGTTCTCAGGGTTGATTAGATGTGCCATGAGTGCGATGGTGGGCCAGTGCAATCATTCGAACAAGAGTACAGCTATGAGATGGAACACAAGGAATTGGAATAACAGGTCCAAGAGATCAACAGATTCACATTTTCAGTTTGCCTGTCCATTCAGCTGGGTCATAGCCTGCAGCGCCTGAGCCGAGGCTTTACTATGAAATTGAGATGGTGTGGTCTGGTCCAGCACAGCTGGCTGGGTGCATTGAGCCCTTCGTGGATAACGGCAGATACAAGCCATGAGGTCTCGTTGGCGTTTCTTCCATTCCGGAGAGCAATCCATGTAACTGTTGCTGAAGTTGCTGTCTTCTTTCACCTCAAGCACAGGGCCCCCCCCAGAAAACACCAAGCGAACACTTCAGCCTTGGTCTTGTGCTCTCTGCCATGGACCCCAACGTACGCCGGGAGCGGGCTGCAATGGTCGCTTCGTGTCGTAGCCGCTTGGCGCGATGGGCGGCTTGGTAGAGCTTTGTGACGGTTTTGCAGAAGTGACCAGCACAATGCTTTGCAGTAGAGGAAACAGTGTAGATTAGCTCGGAGGTGGGTGCATATGTCAGTACGGAGACCCCCAAGAAAAATGTGCAAACGGGTGTCTTGACCGGAAAATATCTCGAAGTCCTTCTGTAAGTGCGCGCCTGATACCGACTCCAAGTCATCTCCGCCCAGGCGCGAATTTTCGCCCCTTCGAAGCTGAGACCCGAGATGCGAAGGAGAAAGCTGCGACCGAGCGAGCCGTCTCGCCGAGGGGAGGGTTCGCCCGTTCGCCAAGGGGACGGTGAAAACAGGGGAAGGATTTGCGTCATGCGATGCGAAAACAACATGTGTTGATGTGTGTCGTGATGAGGTCAGGATGAGAACTGGATGATGAGACTACTGGAAAGAAGATTTGGCCTCGCTCGCATGCCTGCAATGGTTGAGCACATCCGGCAAGTTTGCATTCTTAAATGAAATGAAAACACGGAGTGAACAACTCGTGTTCGAAATGCCACCGTTCGAAGTATCGGAATGAACTGTGTAAAGGAGCTTGCTTTTCCAGCATGTGCGTGGCCACTCCAGTGGCGTCAAGGGGTCCCTGTATGGGCACAGGGATTCGATCCGGAAAGAGCGGCGCGGCGCCAAAAGCTCACAACCAGATGGCACAGCGTGAAATCCACACCGGTGGTGGTCTCAAAAGTTCCGTCACCGCATGAGGCTAGCCTGGGCACAAAAAGTGCAAACATCCACTGTCCTCAAGCTGCTGTGATCAGCTTGAACCAGGCCCTGGCATTTAGCTGTGGTGTGGAAGTTTCGGCCATTGCGGCTAAGCAAGATCGCGCGAGGAAGGAAGTCGCGCTCCAGCTCATCCTTGATGTCGTCGACCCACCTCTGGGTCTCGAGCCACTTGTCTCTCATCTTTTTGAACTCATTGTCAGCCCGCAACTCACATTGCATGTAGTTGCGCATGTCGATGAAGTCTTCAATCCGTTGTTCTTGTGCACGGCATTGGTTTTGTAGATCCCATAGTTCAGCTTCTTGATCTCGAATCACCTCTTGAAGTCGGAGGTTCTCTGTTCTGAGGATCCCGAAGACATTCTCAGGCTCCTTCTCGGTCTCCTGCTGCAAGGGAGGCACCATAGGAGCATGCCAATCACAATGGCATACAAGGTCACCGTCATCCCTGGCGACAGCATGCAGGCCACGGCGTTATGTTCATGGCCTTGACCCCAATCGTGAAGTGAGGACTGCAAAGGCCAAGTGCTTGGAGTTGCCAGCCCGGGTGATGGCATGGCGTCTTGCGCTTGCCTGCCGCTCTGCCACCGTCTTCTTTTTTGATGCCTGACAGGAGACATCGGCTTGGAGAGAAAGGCGGTGAGATCGTAGTCGATCTGCGAACAACTGTCGGGCGGCATACTTGGTGACTCCATCGGCTAGCAGCGCTTCCGATGAAACCCATTTCAAGCGGGACTTTGTCCCCAACATCTTTTGCTTGGCCACCGTGACCTCGATCTTTGTCCTCTTATCGCCCTGTAGGCTGGGAGTTTCAGCCTTGAGCGAATTGTAGAGCGCCTTGGCGTCGACGACAAATGCTGAGGGCATTGCAGGTGTGAAGCTGTCCACTGGGTCATAGCGGGTGCAGCCTTCCCAGAAAATCAACAGATACGCCAGTGCATCCATGGCTCTCGGCATTGAGTGATGATCGACTCACCCTTGGCAACTTGAAACTTCTCCAATCCAGGACGATGTAGTCCTGGGTTGAGCCATCTTCCAGATATTAGCCACCCTCAAATTCGCTGTTGCGACGAACGCCCCAAGCTGCATCGCTCATGGCCACCATGCAAAGCTTCTCCATGTCCCCTCCAAGATCCCTGAAGATCAGGGTTGAGTCGTTGTTGGACTTGGCAAATCGGAAAAAGCTGCTGTGTCTCCTGTGGCAGTGAGGAGATGTCTGTGTTGCAGGCCATTGAAGTGCACCCAGCAAGGCTCCCAACAGCTTTGCTCTTTGTTGTTGAGGTTCTGGTTGGCATCATAGTCGGTGCAAGTCACTGGTTTCACCGAGGTAGTTGGCCTGGTGCAGCTTGGTCTCTGGTTGCAACCACTTGTTGTTTCCCGCCAGCTGACTCTCGATCATGACGAGGGTCTTCTCCAGCTGCGCTCTCTTCATCAGGCTTGCAGGTCAGTCATGGCCTCCTGGTCAACTTCCATGTAGGCGGGTTCATGTTCTTTTTCACCCGCCTGGAAATAGGCGCGCGCTTCAGTGGTCATCTCGAAGAAGCGCTCGTGGGCGTTGAGGTGTCGCCCAGAAAGTCCTGAAGCTTGAGACCATTGTTGCGGTCGTCCTCGCATCTCAGGTCAAAAGGACGCGGGAAAGAATTCATCACGACGCGTCACCCCTTCTGCAAGGCGAAGCAGCATAGCTCCCTGACGGCCACGAGGAATGTCCCGCCAGGTTTCCTGGCGCAGCGTGCGCACCCTTGAGTGTCCAAAGTCAATCTCGGCATGAAGAGCTTCGAGAAGGGGTTGACCAGGATTGACCAGCAGCATCGCCTCCAAAGCGAAAGGACTTGTCACAGCGCTTGAAGACCCGGTCATCCATGGGATATAGCCAAGAAGCTCCAGCCACTTGAGGTGGCGCAGGATGTATTGGCTTCCAGCCAAGAATGAGGAGTGCCATCCACCAGAAGTGGAGGACCATGTTGATCATGGGATCGTCGTCGGCCGGTCGTTTCTTCGGAGAGCTGGAGTTGGCCCCCTGTGAGGAAGGACAGTTTGCAGCGAAATGACCAGGCTTGCCACAGCGAAGGTGTACCATAGCCGAGCGAGCGCGTGGTTTCCCGCTGGGTCTTGCCGGACCTTGAGCTTTTCTTTTGGAAAGGCTCTTGGAATCTCCTGAGTGTCGAACATGGCATGGAGTCCAGTTCTTCTTGAAAGTCATCGTAGCAGTAGGTGTCATCGGGCTCAAAGTTTTTTTTTGCATTCACCTGTTGTCTCCTGGACTTGAAGTCGGGCTCGATGGCGTCCTGGAAGTAGGTGTCATCATCCTCATAGGTCTCGGCTTTCTCATAGTCCTCTTCCCAGAAGGTCTGCCTCTTCCATCGGTCGGGGGCTTGTGGCTTCCTCAAATGAGCAGGAACGTGAACATGATTGGTCTGGATCATCTGTTCCTGTTCGGGTCAGTCCAGCCCGCTTCAACATCATCCAGCCCGTGACCTTGTGCTTGGAGACCTGTCTGAGGGTCTGGTGGAACTCGGTGGTGTATTCCAGGATCGACTGGTCCTTCTTTCGCCGCGTCTTGAAGAAGAAGAAGTTGTCAAAGCGGGTCCGCATCTCAACCTTTGAGAGTCATAGGCCCACTGTTTGTTTAGGCGCTTGAGAAGGATGTCCAGTCCGCCTTCTTGTTCAAGTTCATGGAGGTCCAGGTCTGCGCGACGGGCGTGCAACTTCACTCGCCTCCGCTACTCAGCATAGGTGGTGGTCGTGTTGTCGAAGCGGGGTACGAAGTTGTCCTTCACATCTTTACCAGCGCCGCTGCTGCCACCGTTTGCCATGCATCCATCGGGCCGTGAGGTTGCGCGCCGAGGAGACGACGACATGGCAGCGACGGTGCCGGAACCCACCTCTGTAGGTAGGCTCCTCTACCAATATGAAAACACGGAGTGAGCAACTCGTGTTCGAAATGCCACCGTTCGAAGTATCGGAATGAAATGTGTAAAGGAGCTTGCTTTTCCAGCATGTGCGTGGCCACTCCAGTGGCGTCAAGGGCCCCTGTATGGGCACAGGGATTCGATGAAGGAGCGGCGCGGTGCCAAAAGCTCACAACCACACTCCAAAAAAATGCTGACGGACTGTAATCCTACGGGCTCCTTCCCAATGCTGATGGCCGTATATTCACGATTTATGGTCACGATGACCTCTGCTTCGAGATTCTGGGTTGACACGGCTTGCGCTCACAAGACTGGCCGGGCCTGCCAACCAGCACATGAAGTCAACCATGACCAACCATCACCTTTACTCATCCATGGCTTTACCAAGGTTTATCTGGACTTGAGGACACCACCTAACCGCTAAGCCGAGCGACTCCGTGCTTATCCCGTGACTCAAAGTGACACCCTGGGTGTTTCTGGATCTCCGAGGCTCAGGAATCCGGATCGACAAGCCCAACAAATGGCGGGGTCGACGGTGATTGGGCCTTTTTTGGATGGGTGATGGGTGACGCAGTGGGAGAAACAGGGCCTCTTAGAAAAACAGGACAGTGTTTATTGGCTTCAGCCTTGATTGACATAACCGTGCGCACTTTTATGACTTTGCACTATTGGAAGTTTGCCTGCATTCTTTGGACTTGATGGTTTCGTTTGGTGCTCACTGTCCAAATACCTGTTCACACATACCTCAAGAGCTCAAGGACTTTGAGAGACCACGCAATCTCTGGGTTCCACAGGGTGGGGCTGACGGGGCGCGAGTCAATCGTTTGCTCACCCTTTCATTGTCCTGCCGGCAGGCACTGGGTGTGGATCCAATTTGGGGTTCCGAAAAACATCCGTTAAAACAAGAGGCCCATCAGTCCTCAGTCCATCGGAAAAGGAATCAGAATCTTTCCCGCCCGAGACACATGGAGAAACAGCAGGGTTACTGTACTTCTTCGAAATTCATTGGCTTTGCACATTCGCTCCATCTTCGTGGCGTCCAGTGCGGCGTCCAGCCTCCACAGGCGGCCCTCCTCGCGGCCGACGCTGCACGCCGGGCCCAGCGCAGCCCGCCGCGCACGCCCTCGTCGCGGGGCTCACGCAGCACGAGCTCGCGAGGTGGGGGAGCTTGGGAAGATGAGGAAAAACGAGGAAACGAGACATGCAAGAGACTCATCATGGCCACGTTTCGGGACATTTTGGGGTTCTCTTTGGATGAGGTCTTGAGAAACTTCATGATGCTTTGTGGGGACGTAGCAGAACAAGCTATGTGGAGAAGAGAACATTGCCGAAAGAGACCATACACCAATTTGCATTCTTTTAAAACTTCTCTCTCTCTCTCTCTGCCTCTCTCTCTCTCTGTCTCTCTGTCTGTCTCTCTATATGTATCAAGGGGTTCGAAGGTTGGAAGAAGATGCGTACTCGCAGACATTCCCCCGTCCGTTCTAATGGAAGGTGGTTGTCGCTCCAAGAGTAGTCCAGTGAGGAAAGATTCACTCCTGCAAAGCCCTTCACGTCATAGCTACCCCTTGCCATAATGCACCTGGCAACTTCTTTGCAAGAACCAGTTCTTGACACAAGAGTGCTTCATAGTGCTTCCTTTGTGTCTCAAGCCATATGCACGCTGCAGTGGACCCACGCACCTCAGCCAACCGCCCATGTCAGGTCCTTGATCGGGTGTTTGACGGCTCGCAAGGCTCGCAAGGCTCAGGGGAAGGGTCGGTCGACAGCTCTGGAAGCCATGATGGAAGTTTGATTCGGTGACAAAGTTTTCGATGGTTTTTGTCGTGGCGACGTATATAACTGTCTCGACTCATAAGCTTTTTTTGTACCTTAATCAACCTGAGAACGGATGCTTTGAATAGCTGAACTTGCAAGAACTTGCGCGTTTCCACTGGCCAAACTGCTTTGTTCTTTCATATTCGTGCCTAAGTTCTACTTTTGGGATCTTAATTCTTCAGCTCCCTCCTCGAGCGAGGATACTTCGTGACATGCGACCGAGTTCAGTGGCAGTGTCACAAGGTTTTCCACTTTCCCATGAAGGGGAAGGGTGGACTTGCGACCGCCGCAGAAGAAAAAGCTGGAAGACAGACTGTTGACTGTTGAGTTTCACTTTGGGATGTTTCCGGGAGTGTAGTGTCAGCTGTGGCCGTTGGTCAAAGCGACTGGATGCAGAACTGCAGAACTGATCCCCACTAGGAACAAGAGAGAGAGAGAGAGAGAGAGTGAGTGAGTGAGAGCTTGAACATCAAACATTGCAAGGTGGTTTTGCACTATGTCACTATGTATTCTGGCGACTGCAGCTGTTTTGGCCTAAAATGGCGTAAACAGTTTCACCAGCCCCGCTGTGTGCAGGCCTGTATGATGGTGTTCCATGATCGCACACGTGGAGACCATTTGGTGTGCAGACAACGCCTGGCAGAATGCGTTCCCTTTTGTTTGGGGTGCACGGACATCGTGCAAAAAATATTGCGGGCTAATTTTGGTTTGGACAGCCCCGATGGAATCACACCAAAACCGCTTAACATTCCTTGAGCGTGGGTGAACTGGAGCTTGAACTTGAGCGGAGCAACAATTCGTGGCACATCGCACTAGCCAATCGGGACGGGGGTGGGCAGCATGTGTTTTGTTCCTCTATGCATTGCCATCACGCATTTTCCTGTTCGTGCAGCGGTAAATCCGCATTAGCTTTTCGACTGTCATGGAAACCGAATCGTGGCTTAGTGGGGCCTTTTATCAAGGTTAGGCCATTCGAGTTCGCAACGTGCAAGGGCATCCGGCTCGGCTTGGTTCCCCCTCAATCATTGGAGGCGTGAATGTGGCACGTGCAAACAACATTTGGTGAGCCGCTCTCCCTATCTTGAGGCCCTTGCGAGGGGTAAGTGCAAGCAGCTGATGTCAAACATGAATATCAGCAATCGATAGTAAAGGCGCGCAATTGCGCCGCAACCAAAGTTTACCTTGTAAATTCCTCATTCTTAAGGTAGGACGCTGGGTGCTCACAGACAAGTTCGCACAAATTCAAAAGAGACAATCAGTTTCCCATTGTTCGCTCCAAATGTCATTGGTGAAGGCGCTGGATTGGAAAGGTCGTGAACACGCGCAAAAATGTAAGTAAAATTGGGGCCACCATGACGAGCCAACGGAAGCTGCTGAGGCACAAGTTTGGCCGGGTTGCGCAGTCATCCAAACAGAATGTATTTTTGGTGACTGTGGCCAACCGCTCGACATTAACGCGTCTAACAAAAGAGAAAGTTGTGTGCAGTTGCTGCTGCAGTAGCCACAAAGATGCAGCTAAATGGCCTTGTTTCACCTCCATGTATGTTGGGGAACGTCGGCTCCTTGCTTGCAAAAGATTGCAATTAGGGAACAAAGTCAAACAAAGATCAGAAGCTTACCTAATCGGTCGAAAGATTGTTTTGGTCAAATATGCCCGCGGCTGGATGTTTCTTAAGCGGGTGTGTTGCTTTTGCTTTGCTTGTATGGCAATGGGACACCAGAAGGGGGATCAGAACCATCAGGTCAAATCTCGCGCTCAGATGTGCGAAAGGATGTAAACATCCGCCTGAAAAGACGAAGATTCAAGCAGTTTGTTCGTTTGAAGTTGTAAATTCAAAGCACAGACCTGCAAACTCAATCTTTCAAGTTGCCCAACAAATACGCACCACGCGAGGATTACAATGGCAATCAATGCATGTTTGATGGAGTGCGCTGAGGCAGACCGGCACGTTCACCAAGCATTCCGCAATCAAACGGTCAGAGTATTGCACTTGAGCGAGGTTCTCCTGGACGCGACAGTTTGACAGGCCATGCCTGTGCCATGCAACCAACAAACTTGTTGGTTTAGATGAAAGCCCTTCAAACTTAAGGATTTGCTTTGCAGCATCAGGGTCGTCCACCTCACACAAACGCGTCTTTAGTACCCACCTGAACCATGGCTCGCAAACCAAGTTGGGAGTCGTCTACGAGGTTTTAAATGTTTCAGATACTGGTGCCTCCACGTCCACACCATTCAGATTGCAGTGCGTGTTGAGAGGTTTGCCATCCCGTTCAACACAAACTTGTCGGTTGCAATTGTGCAGAGTTTTTTTGATGCTTTTTGGCCGTTGATAGTGAATGGCGTGAGAACTGCGGAGAAGACGCCTAAAATACTACCTTGCCCATGGTGACCAAATGTTTGGCTGCAGTGTGAGGAGGCCAGGTGCTCCACTGAGTATCAGTGTGATTCAATCATGCTTGAAGCTGCAGACATTCAGGCTCCACACCTTGACTTGCCGCAGTGAAGCAAGTCAAACAAGTAGAACTTTGTTCCTAACAGTGCCCAGGGGTGCTATCGGCTCCACTTGGCTTGTGACACCAGCATTGAACACATAGAACTACGATGAGGATTTCTGTCAAACAAGCCTCTGTGTGCTGCTGCTGTTCTGCCCAAGTTGGAACCATATTAGCAACCGCCAAAATGTGCAATGACTAATCTATGACCGGAGCGGTCATGAATCTCAGGAATTGGGCTAAAACCTGCAAAAGGGATAGGCCTCCCTCAAAAGCGATAACCATATTTCCGCAGTTTTTGGATATGTTCAGCTATGTTGACATTGTGGCTAAAACAAGCACAAGCAAAGGCCTCCCGCAAAAGCGATAACCTTGCTGAATCATGTCCCTTGCTTGACAGTGGTGCTTGAGAGGTTGGCATTTTCTACTAGAACCATCTCAGGGAGCGGTTTTCGGGCAACGGGGATCTACAATTCCCAATGTATCGCATGCCAGTGCTGTTGTGATTTTGGTCTTGACCATTCAGCTTTGGCGAGACGAGTGAGCCGAATGCATTGTCCAATTCGTGTGCGCAAGTGGTATAATGAAAGTACAGTTTTACCAGTGTCCTGTCCAGTCACAGCTCGTGGCCAACACTTGGTCAGCCTGCCTGCCAATGAGGACGCCGCTTGGTTTGTGTGTTTTTCGTGAGTTGGATTCGACGTAGGCGCAGGGGCTCTGTGCCCTCGCTTTGGCTGCCAGTTTTAATCCTTTTCTGTGATAGTAAATGCAGTTATGATTGCAGTCTTACACATGCAGTGGTGTGTGACCATTGGGATTAATGCGTTTACACAACAAACAGAGTCGGTGAGTCTGTGGCAGAAAGCGTCTGCGGTTTGTGTTTGAGAGGAGAACATGATGTGATTAGAGGCATGGCATGGTGCTATCGTTTCCACTTAGCTTGTGACATCAGCATTGAACACAAAGAACTATGATGAGGATTTCTGTCAAACCAGCGTCTGAGTGCTGCTGCTTTGCCCGAGTTGGGTGGATGCAATGCCAATGCTTAACTTGACAGACCAAACGGTGCTTGAGGGGTTGGCATTTCTACTGGAACCATCTCAGAGAGCGGTTTTCGGCCAAGGGGGATCTACAATTCCCGATGTATCGCATGCCAGTGCTGTTGTGATTTTGGTCTTGACCATTCAGCTTTGGCGAGACGAGCGAGCCGAATGCATTGTCCAATTCGTGTGTGCAAGTGGTATGAAAGTACAGTTTTACCAGTGTCCTGTCTAGTCACAGCTCGTGGCCAACACTTGGTCCGCCTGCCTGCCAACAAAAATGCCGCTTGGTTTGTGTCTTTTTCGCGAGTTGGATTCGACGTAGGCGCAGGGGCTCTGTGCCCTCGCTTTGGCTGCCAGTTTTTATCCTCTTCTGTGATAGTAAATGCAGTTATGATTGCAGTCTTACACATGCAGTGGTGTGTGCCATTGGGATTAATGCGTTTACACAACAAACAGAGTCGGTGAGTCTGTGGCAGAAAGCGTCTGCGGCTTGTGTTCGAGAGGAGAACATGATGTACTGCGAGGCATGGTGCTATCGGCTCCACTTTGCTTGTGAAATCAGCATTGAACACACAGAACTATGATGAGGATTTCTGTCAAACAAGCCTTTGATTGCTGCTGCTTTGCCCGAGTTGGGTGGATGCAAATGCCCATGCTACATGATGCTTAACTTGACAGACCAAACGGTGCTTGAGGGGTTGGCATTTCTACTGGAACCACCTCAGAGAGCGGTTTTTGACCCAGGGAGATCTACAATTGTGATGCAAGGCACGGTGCTATCGGCTCCACTTGGCTTGTGACACCAGCATTGAACACACCTTGACTTGCCGCAGTGCAGCAAGTCAAACAAGTAGAACTTTGTTCCTAACAGTGCCCAGGGGTGCCAAGGACACAAAGCGAGGTGCTTTTAGGGGTTGTGTTGTTGAAGGCCGACAGAGCCAATGGGGATCTACAGTTCCTGATGTATCGCCTGCTAGTGCTTTTGTGACTTTTGTCTTGACCAGTGAGCCGAATGCATTGTCCAATTCGGAATGTAAGCAGAATTGTAGCACGGGTAGGACTAGACACATGGACGGGGTTTAGACGTAGGGGACTGACTGTGGTTGGGGTGGTGGACTTCCAGAAATCACCTCGAATCGTCTTCGGGGCGCCCTGGTTTGACACCCCGAATCACCCGACAGACCCTTGTTGACACCTCGAAGCGTCACAGAGCTCGGGGTGGTGTTGAGTCCCTCAGTGTGGATCATGGGCACACCTAACCTCCATGGATCGCACCCCTGTGACTGCTGGTCGCAGCGAACCATTGAAGTTCTTCTTGCACCGCCAGAGACAGGCACCCGTCCGTCTCAGTGGTGTGGACTGTCCCTGCCCCTCTTGCAGTATTGTGTCCAAATGGGTTTCCTGGAGAAAACGCTTTTCCAGTTCCAGGTAGGTCTCAGTATGTACAGAGACGAAGATGACGACGATGACGAGACACCACCGACTGGATTGGAGGAGACAGAGGTTCTTATACGGAGTTCGATGCATGTTTCTGGTCGTCGTTCCGAAAGAATGGAAGGCCAAGGCATGCCGGATTTGATGCTGTGATGCAAGGCATGGTGCTATCGGCTCCACTTGCCTTGTGTGACATTTTTGCCTTTGAATGCCAGCAGCGAGAACGGCTACCAAAACTGTGGGTATATATATAAAGATTTTCATATGCGTAATCAGCTCCCACTGAAACTTGTGCCCCTTCCTAGAGCAGCACCTCAGTCTGGTGTCGCA